GCTGGGCGTGGTAGTGCACGCCTGTAGTTCCAGCTACTTGGAAGGCTGAGGCGGAAGGATCACTGGAGCCCAGCAAGTCGAGGCTGCGGTGGCCGGAACCACTGCACTCCAGTCTGGGCAACAGAGTGAGACTCCAACTCAAAAAAAAAAAAATAAATAAATAAATAAATAAGTAAATTGTGGATTGCCTGAACCCGCAGGTTCAAGACCTGTCTGGGCAACTTGGCGAGACCTCATCTCTACAATATAAATCAAAAACTAGCCGGGTGTGGCGCCTGTAGTTCCATCTACTTGGAAGGCTGAGGCGGAAGGATCGCCGGAGCCCAGCAGGTTGAGGCTGTGGTGACTGGAAGCGACCACTGCACTCCAGTCTGGGCAACAGAGTGAGACTTCAACTCAGAAAAAAAAAAAAAGTAAATTGTGGTTTATTCAAAGTAGAGTACATGGCTGGGCGAAGTGGCTCATACTTGTAATTCTAATACTTTGGGAGGTCAAGGCGAGAGAACTGCCTGAGCCCAGGAGTTTAGACCAGCCTGGGCAACGGGGCCAGACCTTGACTACAATAAATTAAAAAATTAACCAGGCATGGTGGCGTACACTTGTAGTCCCAGCTACTTGAGAGGCTGAGGAGGAAGGATCGCCTAAGCCCAGCAAGTCGAGGCTGCAGTAGCTGTGAGCATGCCACTGTACTCCAGCATGGGTGACAGAGTGAGACTCAGATTTAAAAAGAAAACCAAACAAAGTAGAATACACCATAGCAATGGGAGTGAATAAGATTGCATGCAAAAAACATGAATCACAAAAATTTTGTGAAAAAGAGGCATAAAAGAGAACTTACAGTTTGATGCTATTTATTTACATCGAAAAATAGCAAACATAAAGTCTATATTTGGTGTCAGAAGTCAGGGTAGCGTGGTTGCCCTTGCTAGGGAAGAGGTGAATAACTGATCAGGAAGCCACAGGAAGAGAGGGTGTCTTGATCTAGGAGCTGCTTTCAAGAGTGTGTTTGTCTCAGAATTCATTGGGCTATCCATTTGTGATATTTGTGCTTTTCTGTTTGTATAGTGTACTTTAACAAAAAGTTACCTCATGCCTGTAATCCCAGCCCTTTGGGAGGCGGAGGCGAGAGGATCTCCTGAGCCCAGGTTTTGAGACCAGCTAGGGAAGCTTGGTGAGACCTCATCTCTACAGTAAATAAAAAAATTAGCTGGGCATGGTGGCATGCGCCTGTAGTTCCAGCTACTTGAAAGGCTGAAGTGGAAGGATCGCCTGAACCCGCAAACTGAGACTGCCGTGGCTGTGATCATGCCACTGCACTCCAGCCTGGGTGATGGAGTGAGATCTGACTCAAAAAAAGAAAAAAAACAAAACAACCCGGAGTTTTCCTCCCTCTTATCTTAACAAAGCATCTCCTCTAATTTCCCAAATTCCTTAGGAACTACAAATTACCAGACAAGAAATCTTTGAATATGCCTATGACCTGAAAGCACCCCAAACCGAAAATGTCCCTCTTACCTGGACCAAACCTGTGAAAATCTCACATGTATTGATTTGTGTTTTCCTATAACTTAGGTCTTCTAAAATGTATATAACCAAGTCGCTGTTTAACCTC